TGGTCTGGTGCTCATACCTCTCCCAGTAGGACCTGGCACAACTCATTGTCTTGTCAGAGGTTCATGGCCAATGGCCACATGGGTTGGGGTTATTGTTTTTTGTTTTTTTTTTTTTTTAAGTAGGCTCCACACCCAACCCGGGGCTTGCACTCTCCACCCTGAGACCAAGCGTTGCATGCTGTACCACCGAGCCAGCCAGGCGCCCCCAAATGGGTTTTGTTCATTGTCAACTCCAACAAGTTAGAAACTGACAGTTCACAGGTGGGGAAATACCTATTTCTTTTATTTTATTTTATTATTTTTTAAGTAATCTCTACACCCAGCGTGGGCCTCAAACTTACAACCCCGAGATCAAGTTGCACGCTCCACCAACTGAGCCAGCCAGGCGCCTCGAAATACATATTCCTTAAACAACTCATAGGCAAATGTTTATTCTGATTAAAAAATGCAGCTGAAATTAAACCTGAGAAGCCACAGTCTGCTAAAGAAGAGGAATTTCTTTAAATGATAATGTCTTAAGAAACAGTAAGAGTAAAATTGCATAACCTCATTCGATGTAATCAGCTCCATTACAACAGATACTCTCTATTCCTTGTTCATGTCTAAATCTCCAATGCCCAGTACACGTTAGGAGTTCAGTGAACACTCCTTGACTGAGGATCCGTCCATTAAGGGTCTTGAAACTTGTTCTTTGGGAATCCATATGGTCCTATGTAGCAGAAACCAGATAGCTGGCATTGCTCCCATATTAAGCTGACAGGCGAAAAGTGAGGAGAAATGATGTGTTCCCATGTGTCCTCACTCACCTCCACAGGCCAAGAAAATGGAGGACTCTGAACCAGGCAGGAGAAAGAGAAGAGAGCCCTATTTTGACAGGCGACAGTAGGAGAGAAGATAGGGGTACCAACACCCCAACCTCTCATCTCCCAATCGGAACCCAAAGGTAAAGCACCCTCTACTCTCACAGTCCATGTGTCACCCCTCGGAACACGGGCGGAGGTGGTGGCTCACTTTGGATTGAGGCTTGGTTGCCACTGGGTCCAGCTTCCGGTGATTATTCGAAAAGGCCAAAGACTTGAGTCACTTACACACACAGCTCTACTCATTTTCACCACCCTGCGATCATGCCTGGAGCTGAAATCAAGAGTCAGTCGCTTAACCGACTGGGCCACCCAGGTGCCCCATAAATATTGTTTTTTTAATCAGCACTCAACATCTATCCCCAGGGAACGCACTCTACAGGCCAAATCCAACTCCCAGCCTGTTTTTGTACAAGTTTTTACATTTTTTGCAAGGCTGTGTAAAAAAAAAAAAAAAAAAAAAAAAAAAAGATGCTACTGAGACCGTACGTGGCCTGCAAAGCCTAAAATATTTACTATCTGGTCCTTTTAAAGACTGACCTGTAACGTCGAAAGACAACATGCTGCATATACGTGTAATGTAAATCTAATTCCACTTTTAGCCAAGGCTTGAAAATTTTTTCTTTCTTGCCCATCTATGGGTTTTTAAAGTTTTTTTTTCTTTCCTCTCCCCTCTTAAATAGCTTAGTCCACACGGACCTAAAATGCTCTGCTCTTCAGAAAATCACTCTCCGTAACTTTCAGGGTTTGAGGTTTCTCAATGTCAGAACTTCTCAGTGGAGCTGGGTTACCATTTAATTTTGCTGCTTTCTTTGTTGGCCTAAAGGGTAAACTTTTTGTTGGGGTGGTATTACCAAATACATTATTCCTCAAATCTATTTCTGTCCAGTATAAAAATCTGCTTTCTCAGATTGTTCGCTTTAAAATAGACAAGCCAAGTTCTGTGAGAAGTCAGAGATCGCTCTCACCACGTTAGGAACAGCTTCACGCAGGTGCACATTTGGGAGGCTTAAGGATAGAGAGTTTACCAGGTGATGAAGTTAAAAAAGCAAGTTGGGAGACTCATGAGAGTTTTAAGGAGCCTTCGGAGTGGACCCTTGTGATTTGGGTCCCCCGTAGTCTCGATGTCCTCAGACATCACACCTGATTAGCTCTCAGGACGCGTAGTTTGGATGCTAACAGGGCATCCCTGAGATCGCTGTCCTTAGAAAGGTTTGCTTGCAAGGTTGGCCCTCGGCTGGCATCTGGGAACTTAGATTTCGGGAGGATTCCCCCTACTCCCTCCCTGAGAAGAGCGGCTCTCTGTTCCCAAACTCTCCCAGTGGGGTTTATGCTAAATACCTGCTTTCCTTCATGAGTCTGGAATTTTGGTATGTGCTCTGGCAAGAGAAGCATGGCCTCTGTGACCAGCCTCTCAGTTAAAATCTCGGACGCTGAGTCTTGGTAGGCATTTTACACATGTGGTCCCAATTTGACGCTGGGGGGATTAGGCATGTCCTGAGTGACTCTCTGGGAAAAGAAGTCTTGAGAGCTTGTATCTGAATTCCTCTGGACCTCGCTCTTTTTTCTGATTTTGCTTGGTGTCATTTTGATAGAATAAATCATAGTCACGAATATGACTGTATGCTGAGTCTCGTGAGTCCTCCCAGCAAATCATCAAAACCAGGAAGGTCCTCTGAGGGAGCTCCAAAACACTATGCTTCGCTATCCTTTTGGGCCGTGATACACACAAGCCAATCAGCCTATCCAACGTCTCTCTGAGAGAACCCAGTGCTCCTTATTCTGCTGGTTGACTTGGAACGTGACTCTGAGGCGGCACCTGCCGGTTGCTTTCATGTGATCAAAGAGGAATGACCTGGAGTTGCCAGGGAGGGTACCACATGGAAGCCTGCAGATACAGTAGCCAGAGAGATGACAAGGAACTGGGCCAGGATCACAGTGAATTGTTTGATGAAGCCCCTTCAAAAACAAACCCACCCTTCTAGAGGTTTCTTCAGTTGTGCGGGAAAGTTGTGTTGTGCCAATTTGAACTGGTTTTATTATTGGCCGCCACAACAAGAATCCCAGCTGATGGACCATGATGAACCATGCCAGAGCCTTGATGGGAAGGTGACCAAGTAGGAACTTCCGCAGGTTTTTAGGTTGGGAAGTCACATGGTTATTCAGGGTGAGGACAGGTAAGGCTCCTCTCTGATGGGTGGCAGGGTGGGTGGTGAAAAACCGGGACCAGCTGGAAAGCCACTACAATGAGCTATCCACCATGAGGGCACACTTGGGTAGTGGCAGCTGGAAAGCCCTGGAATACTCAGGAAGTGCAAGTGAAGGAGGGGATGGAGCAGGTGAGGATGAGAAAAGTCAAAGGTGACTGGCTTCTTCGCTGGCCTCTGTACACATCCAGGAGTGGGGCGGGGGGTCACGCGTCTGTCCTGGACACGCGTGCACAGTAGCCAGCGGACAACAGCCCAGTAATGATCTGGAGCTCTGGATGGGACTGGGGGATGAAGGAGGGGTCAGGGCTGAGATGCAGGCTCAGAGCGACCAGCACTCGGGTGATGGCTGAAGACAGAACAGGGGATGAAATGAACCAGGAAGAAAATGTCTAGCAAAAAGTCAGGGGGGCTGAAACTTCAATGGGTAATCCTGAAAAGTTAGAGGAAATTACAAAGGAGACAAGTAGAAGACAGGGAGATTAACCCACGGGTTCGTTAAGAAGTTAATACCTTTCTCACGGGAGGATCAAAGGGAAGAAAAGAATTAAGGAGGATGGTGAAATCAACAATATTGAAATTACAGAAAAGATTAAGGGGCACAAGGATTAAGAAGCAGCTGCTAAATGTGGATACTCCGACCTGTAAGACTGACGGAGATAGGTTAGTAAGATAATTAAAACATCTTTCTTAATATGTTTTAAGTATCTAGGGTATATATTCAACATTAATGTGGGGCATTTGATTAATTTTAATATGCGATTTCCATTTGGAAGGACACAAAGCTCTTCCAAGCTCAACAGGAACAACTGCTATTATAAAAGACCAGTGTTAAAAGACTGCTACTTTAAAAACAAATTCGATTGGTATAACAATAAATCACTCTAAATTAGTTAATTTTACGATAGCATTCAGAGATCATGAGGGTAAGGCATAATTGCCAAATATGTAACTTTTCCTCTGTACCTTTTTACACATCCTGCTCCTTCCTTAAGTTGGCCATAATGTATGAAGGCGCTCCTCCAGGCTCCACGACTGCGTAAATATTCCATTTCCACATTTCTGAGACCATTTCCTTGGATCCCTGAGCTCTAGTTCCCTCTGTCTTGCTCCCTGAAGCGAAGTGCCAGGCCACGTTCCCAGAAGCCTTCCTCGACCGAAGACAGACCCCCCCGCCCCAGCAGCTGAGCAAATCATCACCCGGCTTGGCCCCAGGTCATGGTCCCCCCCCAGGGCGTTGTCAGTGACAAGTTCGCTCAGGCAATGCTGAAGGGCCTTGTGGTAAGTGCACCCCACCACAGCCGAACGTCTCCCTGGGCCACCACCACCCCCAGGTGTCAGTCCCAAGAACACCTCCAAATACAGTTCCTGCCCAAAGATCTCCATCTCCAAGTCTGTCTCTCAGGGAACTGAACCTGTAACAGCACCCCCCCCGCCGTCCCCCTCAGCTGTGCTCTATGAGTGGCATTCATGCCTCCCCTGACTTCAGCACCCCACTTGCTGGTCACCTCTGCAGCCAACCCGTCAGAAGGGCATCTCCTCAGCACCTATCACCTGAGCTACATGGTGGGGAAAATATTAGCATGACAGTACTTGCCAGTCACATCTTTATGATTTGCGATTACTGATTAAGCAAGAAAACTCTGTTTGGTATTTACAGGCATTATATGAAAACAAAGGATTTCCAGCAAAACAGAGGGGAGAAGAAAGAAAACTATTTGGGAACATAAAGACCTTTCCCCTCCCTTAAAGCAGGACACTGTTACAGCAAAGTATGAAAAACAAGTGAATACGATTGACAATTCATGTTAAAACTGGGTATCACTAAGTTAGAGACCAGAGAATAACAAAACAAAGTGTAAAAGACTTCAAAGTGGCCTTTCCTCATCTAATTTTCCTTTCCATTTATAAATGCTATCACAATTCTAAAGACTTGGGTGAAAATTTTTTATTATGAAGATAGAGCTCTAAGAACAGAAAGATATTACGTGCTGGCTTACAGGTTCTTGTAAAAAGAATAATAACGTGAAAAGTTAGTAAAAAATTAAATTCTCAGAAGTTATCTAAAACCTGAAAATGATAAGCAGCTTCCCTGTATCTTAGTTTTGATCACTTTTGCTTAATCGGTTTTGCATATCTGGGTGATGAGAGTATTTAATTTTTCTGTTCTTATTCACAATGTAGTGTGTCCTTCAGAGCTTGGCATAGTCTTTAAGAATCATCTGAAGCTTCTGGCTCAGCATGATGTTCCCTCCGGCCTTCAGTCTGCCACTAAAGAATGCCTAGAAAGGAGAGAGGAAAAAGAGAGTGCCAGACTTTATCACGTTACATTTCATTTCTTTTTTAAAAAGATCATTGGTCACACTGAATACAATGGAGATAACAACTCTGGACAACAAAGGCAACTTTTATCCAGCAACGATACTTTAATGATTATAGATAGCACCCGTATTTCTGGATACCTAAGGGGGGGAGTGTATTTTAGAAAACCACAGAATAATCTGTCTGAACAGACAGACTTGTGAGTTCTGCTTCAACCCAAGCTTGGATGGCAGTCTATGTTCTTAAATGTGAATTTGAGACCCTACGAATAAAAGGCTTTGCTGTATTCCTAACAGTAAAAATATTTATGACACCTTCATGAAACAGAAAGCCACGTACCGACAAAATAAGGTCGCGTCACAAAGTAGCGGAGAGACCCTGCGCTGTCACCTCAGAAGGGCTGGATTAAGACCCAGGCTCTGCCACTTACAAGCAAGGGGAGCTGGGGCAAATTCCTTCACCTCCCTGAGCTCCGGCCTCCTCGTATCCAGGAGGCATGACAAGAGGACCTAAATAATGCAGCTCCGCTGCTCAGCTGAATGAATTAGTGTGGCAAGCGCTTAGCTTAGCATGTGACAGGCAGGAGGCGCAAATTAAACTCGTCATTACTACCACGCCAGGCCTTGTGCGGTCCAACACCACGGGCTCCAGAATCACCTCTGGACCCCACCCGACGCAGAGACTTGCGCAAGTTGCTTAAGATCCCCCTCAGTGTGAACGTCCCTCTCAATAGAAACAAAACCATCAGTTTGTATATCTGAGAAAACAGTATATGGAATGTGAAGGGAAAAAGAAGGCCCAAGATTTTTAGATAGATTGAAAGAAACAGTAATAGCCATGACGACTACTACTTGCCATTGCAAAGCAGCCCTACAAAGATGATCTCACTCGAGAAGCACAACCACGAGCCTGCAGTGGGCAGACTGGGCATCGATTTACCGCCAGGGGACAGTGGGGCCAACTTCAGGTCGGAGAGCTTCCCTAACCCACGCCAGGCCCCCGACCCAGCAGGAAGGGGGACCAGGCCACGCACTTAGCAAGGAGCAGCAACTTAATCGTAGAAGCAGATCCTCATCGACCAGAGGAGAAGCGAAAGCTCTTTAAACCTCTTAAACTTCTTAGCCCGGCAAAAATAAAAGGAGAACTCAGTCAATCGGGATCAAGTGCTCAGTGTTCAAATGGGAGACTGCATTTTCAAAACTAAAACCGCTTTTGCTGCACAGTTACGGGCACGGTGCTCACAACCCCGCAGGGAGGTCAGTACGGACACCTGCCCCCTCGGCACCAGCTCCGAGAGGGACGTGCGTGCAACCTCAGATAAGAACACTTAACTCCTTGAAGTAAATCCACCAAAACCAACATGCGATGGTTGTCACAGAGTGACAGAATAGATCTGTATTCCTTAGGGCAGGTTCCTAAAGAAGAAACTACCAAATCAGGACCTTTCTCAAATAAGGTTCCTGACCACGCTCAGTATCAACAGCTTCCAAACCACACACCGCAGCTGGGCAGCAAATTCACAGGCACGGGAAGGAATACTTAAAATTTTCGAGGCAAATACGGTGACAGCGGTGACACACAACTTTTGTTTGGACCTAACTACTTAGTAACTGGACCGCTGGGTATTTCTTTTGGCCTAGGAGTGCCAGGCAAAAAGTACCGAGACCGTAAGTTGCCATCAAGGAAGAAAGCCGGGAACCTCTGCCACAGTGCCTTCCAGAAAGACTCTTCCAAATGTGTGTTCCCTGAAACTACACGTGAATTCTCTTACCCCAACTATAACATAGTCTCTGAAAATGTGAGGCAAGATGACATCCTTTAATTTGCATTTTGTGGATACTGGGGAAAAACGAGTAGTTTTTCTTAGGCATGTGAGTCATTTCTATTTCTCTACTAAATAATGGTTCATATCTTTTGCCCCGTTTTTTATATTAAGTGCTTTCCAGAATTTTGCAAAGGTTATCAATACCACCATACCGTGTATCATCGTTCTCTTTATTATTTCCCCCAGGCTTATGGGAATATCTTATGGAGTCTGACATGGTGAAGTTTCCAGTTTCTACACGGCCTAAATTGCTGTTGTTGAGCTTCTGTTCCTTATTTTATCCTTGCTTTAATCTATTCAAGTATTACTGAGGGTCCACAGTATACCAGGCAATATCCTAGGCAGGAAACAGATACCGCTCTCTGTTCTCATGAAGCCAACATTATAGTAGGGAAGTCAAAAAATAAAATGCAAACAAGTAACTAAGACCTGTTATCAATGCTATGAAGGAGAAAATGGGATGCTCTCAGAGACTGTAACAGAAAGGAACTACTTTGCATGAACTGAAGCCAGCTACCCAAAAAGCTGGGGGACAAATTCCAGAAAAGGCAGATGCACAGACACCGAAGGAGTAAACGCTGATGGGAAGAACTTGCAAGAAAGGACAATGGGAATGGAAGCAGCACTCTTAAGCGGGGAGGCAAGCGGTGTGGGCTGAAGCTAGGAACACCGGCAAGAAAATCATCAGGTAGGACACAATAATAGGTAGTTTGGATTTGCTCCATGTCCAAAAGGAAATCTTAAGAGATGTTTTCAGGTGAGGCGACCTATAATCTAATTCACATTTTTTAAAGGATTACTCTGGATCCTGCGGGGAGAGGCAAGGATGGGGGCAGTAAGACCTGCCGGGAAGCTGCTGTCAAAAGCCAGCAGAGATGCTTGGGGGCTTGGATCGTGGTGGTATCTCTAGTGATGAGGAGGAAAGGATGAACGTAAGATATATTCTGGAAAAAGATCAGGCAGAATTAAGGACAAAAAGAATACAGAGGTATAGGAAGAAGCCAAGACAATTCTTACGTTGCCAAGCATGTTAACTCTGGTAGATAGACAGTGGTGCCATTTCCGGAGGTGGAAAAGACTACGGGAGAAAAGGAAGTCATGAGTTCTATCTTAGACACAGTCAGTGGGAGATGCCAGTAAGACTGCGCATCAGAGAGGTCAGGCGCAGAGTTGCTTACATCATTGCGGAGCACAGAAAAGACAAGTAGGGCAGGCGTTCACAGGCCTGCGAGCTGTCAACATATACAAGACTTCAAACCCCACAGGACAGATGAATGCACTGTGGGAAAACTGTTATTTACAGAAGAGCCCTGAAATGAGCCCTGAGAAGAGGCACCAAAATTAACGGTTGGGGTGGAAGAAGAAGGCACCAAAGGAGATTAGGAAAAGCCAAAGGAAGAGACAGAATACGAGAAAATGGCATCAAGAAAGCCAAGGAGTGAAATTATTTCAAGAAGTTAGTGGTTAACCGAGTTGAATGCTACTCAAAGGTTGAACAAGACACAGAGAAATATCCATTGGCTGGTAAAGTGGAAGCCATCGGTGAGCTCTGTAAGAACAGTACCAGCGGCGTGATGGGTGTGGGAGTGAGGGAAGGGGGGCAGAAGAGCAGAGTCAAGACTGAATGTTTAAGCCTCTGCTGCCCAACAAAGGGGCCGCTAGCACGTGAAATGTGATGAGTCCTGGATGAGATGCACTAACAGCGTAAAACAGACCCCGGATTTAGTTTTTAAAAAAGGATATAAAGGGGCGCCCGGGTGGCTCAGTCGGTTAAGCGTCTGCCTTCAGCTCAGGTCATGATCTCAGGGTCCTGGGATCGAGCCCCGCATCGGGCTCCCTGCTCAGCGGGGAGTGTGCTTCTCCCTCTCCCTCTGCCTCTCCCCCTGCTTGTGGCCTCTCTCACTCAAATAAATAAGCAAAATCTTTTAAAAAAGGATATAAAATATCTCATTAATACTTTCCTACTGATTACAGGTTGAAATGATAATCAGCTGTACTGGGTTAAATAAAACGTATTATTTAAAACCAGTTTCACCAGTTTCTTTTTAACGTTTTTTTCAACATGATATGGCATGCTGGATGGGGATCGGATATCCAAAGAGGGTGTTGGTTTATAAAATCGAGAGGTCAGCTCGCCTGTGGTTGCGGGAGACTGGCGCAGTGGCACGGGGGAGACTCGTGGGGAAAGGAGAGGAGAGGAGAAGCATTAGTGACCGGAACGGAAGAGAAGGGACCAGTCTCTGACAGGAAGGGGGAGACTTCCTTCAGGTAAGGCAAGGGAAGAAAAGGAGACGGGCCAGATGCTGTGAGAGCAGACCTGCTGATGGACTGGCCTAAGTTTTCATCTAAAAACCTTCTTTTTCCAATGAAGCAAGAAAGGCCATCGGGCAAAAATGAAAGAGAGGCAGGCATGTGGGAGCTTTGAGAAGACAAGTACGAACGAGTCATCCCAGACGAGAGGACTGGAAGCCGGCTGGAGAACCAGAGTCAGAGCGCTGGACGGCGCGGAGAGACTGTGTGAGGCTTGGGGTCCAGAACTTCGAAGGAAGCCAATCTGTCTCGATGTGTGGCTTTTCGCCCCACTCACCTATTCAGGGATGGATGTAAAGATGGCGGAGAGTGGGGTTCAAAGGGTGGAGTCTTCCAGGCAAGGGAGATGAGAGAGAGAAGGGAGGGGAGGTTATTTCCAGGGGCTGTGACGACAATGGGGGACCAGGGAGAGAAGCCAAGACAGAAGGGTTGTCAACAAATGGGAGGCCTCTGTGAAGCTTAACCCGAAGAGCAGGAATAAAAGGCCAAGTGAACAGAACGACAGGTGAGGGTGCTGGGAAACAGATGTCCTGTGAGCTGCACACTTCATGCTGCCGATAAGGACTGAAACGGACTGGGGATGGCGTGGAGGATGGTAAGAAGTGAGACGAATGAACTATGAGTCACTTGGAGAAGCCATTTTCAGGAATCATGAAGGAAGCCACCAAGGCGGCCCCGAAGGTCCCGCGCACACTAGCCCTTCCCCCTTCTCCCATCACCTCCTGCTCGGCCCCCACTGTTCATGTGACCTCCTCACCGCTCCAGCAGTGCAGTAAGCCCTCCTGCCTCCACACGCGGCTTCCTCGGCCTCACAGCTCATCCCCTCACGGTGGTCAGCGCTCTCTTGGGCCTTTTTGGACAGGCCCATCTGAAACCCTTCCTCTAGCCCATCACACTCTAATCCAGGGGCTGGCAAACCACAGCCCACGGGCCAAACTGGTCTGCTGCCTGTTTCTGCGCGTGCACTTTCACTAGGACACAGCGCCCCTCCTCTGTCTCCCTATTATCTGCGGCTGCTTTGCCTCTACAGTGGTGGACTGCGCATGTGCACCGCAGACCATCGGGCCACACCGCCGAGAACGTTCACGAGGCGACCCTTCACAGAGAAAGGGGGCCAAGCACGGCTCTAACGCACTGCTCTGCCGGATTCTTCTTCATACCCGAAATCAGATTTCCTTCCCACTCCCCTCTAGAACTAAGCTCAGACAGTAGGGGCACCGTCTTGTTCCGCCACACCAAGCACCCGAATCAGAGTAAGTGCTGAATGCGTTTCTGCGAAGGAATCGACTGAGGTCACGGGGTGCCAAGTGCTGTGCTAAGCTCTCATATATGTTATCAGACTGAGTTATAACCGGCCTTTGGGATTATGACAATTATTGTAGTAACTTTACCAATGAGAAAATCGAGATTGAGAGAGGAAGTGGCAGAGCTTAGGTTCAGACTCGGATCTATCTGATGTCAAAGATCCTACTGCACTACTTGACAATTCTTTTTAAATTAGTCCTTCTAAGAATCCAGGAAAACTATACTTTCTCATGTATTGAAACGGCTCTGCTCCCTGTAAACGTGCATGGCTGTCTTCAAACAAGCTTTCCTTCTTAGGGAAGTCACCGGTATTCCGTAGTTTGGGTTGGGATTATAAACAACTTCTTTTTCAGTGCTATCTTCTAGTTGGGTTTGCTGCTATGAGAAAGCGATTTTTTTAATAATGATCGGGCATTCGACCCACTGGCTCGAAGTCCTTCATTTTAAGAATCAGTAGTTGATTCTCTTGGGATTTCTAGCTACATAATCAGGGTTTCAAAGTAACAAGGGTGTTTCCTCCATTCTAATTGTTACATCAGTTTCTTTAATTTTGTGTGTTTGTGGATTGGCCAAAAAGCTTCAGAACGATATTCACAAATAATGGTCAGAGAGGGCACTCTTCTCCTCATCGTTATTCTCCCCAGAAAGGCCTCTAAGGGTCTCACCTTAAGTAAAACACCGGCTCTTATTGGCCTATTCTACTATTTCCAGTTTTCAATGATGACTGTTAAGACAAGTTCTTAGTCTTGTACACCAGGAATGAATTTCAAATTTTAGGAAGTATCTACTAATATATGGTTTTTCACCTTCGAACTTAATGGCAGAATATATGTAAAGGTCTAGGTGTGGGTTTTATACTATTTCACTCTATGCTGAAGAAGAAATTCTGCTTTAAAGGGGGTTATGTGGAACTCCACTAAAAATATATATGATCTGTCAACCCAGATACGGAGATCCCCTGAGTCTCCTTCACAGTGGTAAGGAACTTGTCTTCTAAGTCAGCATTTGGGAGCCAGCTAACAACTGTCTGGTCAAACAGGAAGCAATGATGATGAATGGGCATGTCAGGACATTACCTTCTGAGGGTCGAGCTTGCCCAGGACCACGTCCATGAAATCTTCATCTGAAAGCGTGAAGGTTGCGTCAGCAGAGCCTTTTGCAGGGCCTTGATACACTTTTCCAGAACCACTTTTTAGGTCAACAGCTGTCAAAAGTAGGAAGAGAGCAATGTTTGTTTGTTTCTTCACAACAGGAGAGTAAAATAAACCAACTGAAATGTGAACATTTTTATAGTTTCCAAGTTCATGTGGTGCTTTCTACATTATACATTATCTGTCATTTAGAAAAATTTAGAAAATCCTTTATTTTTCAAGATGACTTTTTTATAAAGAAGTTGTTCAAAATAGTCAAATCAAGGGAGCCTGGCTGGCTCAGTCCGTAGAGCATGTGACTCGATCTCAGGGTCGTGACTTCAGGCCCCACACTGGGTGTAGAAATTACTTAAAAATAAAATCCTTAAAAAAAATAGATCAATAGTTTCACCTCAGTGAAGAAGTTTATACAACAGAGACATTTTAAACGTTAATGTAGAATAATATAAAGCAGTTAAGTTGTTGGAGGTTATATGGTTAAGGCCTTTAGGTTCAAATACAGACACTCTAGTCAACAAAGGAGGAAAGCTCAATTCTGTTTTATTTTATTTTAGTTATTGATTTATTTTGAGAGGGACAGCACGTGAGCAGGGGGTGGGGGTGAAGGAGCAGAGGGTGAGGAAGAGAGAGAATCTCAAGCATGCTAGGCATGGAGCTCAGCACAGGGCTCAATCTCACAACCCTGAGACTATGACCTAGCTGAAATCAAGAGCTGGATGCTCAACTGACTGAGCGGAGCCACCCAGACACCCCAGAAAGCTGAATTTTAAAACAGGTGCATGTTGGTTGGGTCGGGTTGGGGGAAGGAAATACACATTCTAGTCACCTTTCAAATACCTGCCTTCATCAAACGGTTCTGTCATGCAAAGCAAGACAGTCAAAACAGATTCGTAAAAATGTTCTAATAGTTTGTTGCACTTATGATTTATAAAATATTTATTGCCCTCATTATTGCAAATAAACATTAAAATTAGCTTCTTTTCCCTTAACTGCTTTTGACAGAAGTATCAAGTGCCCCAGAAACAGGCTGGGTAACTGGGAAAGCTATGAAACACCACCTTCATGGCTCTCTCTGGATCATTTATAGAGCTGGATGCCCAAGCGACATGTCAGGAAGTTTATTTAGCTGTCTCACGTGTGATGGACAGCGTCAGCTTCTGGAAGGTGCTCTCTCTTGCTACAGCGAAGGAGCTGGCCCTGAGATTGTGTACAGAACTCCGAGTTGAGAGCCGAGAAGCTACACATGCATGAGGAAAACCCACAGGGTTCAGTGAAATGCTGCTTAACCGACACTTGCTCCAGAGAGAAAATTAAATCACGCCAACTCTTTGAGAGAACAGAATTTTGCCAACTAAGGTATAACAGTAGTGACCTGATGATCATGGTTGCATTGGGAAGGAGAAGGGCAACTTTTTGCTTTGTATGCTTCGTTCACTCACTTCACTGCTGAGTTTCCACCGTGGGTGTCAGACGATATGCCAGGCACTCAAAGTCAGGCGTGCAGAGCAAAGGCTCTGTTCTTACTGGCACTTCCCTAGTACACATGTGTTTTCATATGTAATGCTTGTATAGTTGAAAAGAAAGACAAGAGAGAAAAAGAGAGGGAGCGATCCAGGAAGGCTGGGGAAGGAAAGGAAAGGGAGGAAGGAAAGCCTCTAAACTCTAAAAAGCAAACCTCTGGTGTTGAACAGACAACCTTCATGATTTTAATTTTTCACAAGTAGGTCTGAAGTCCACACGACCCGCTGAAGCATGAAGGTGGACTGCACACATCTTAATGCTCACGTGTGCAAGTGAGTCTCCGAGTTGACGGGGGTTCGTCGCTGTCCGCCTGCCCTCGCACTCTCCCTGGGTCTACGTGTGGCTTCCCAGCCCCGACTCTTGCAAAGCAGTAAAACTCTCCTGTGGAAAGCTAGTAACTAGGGTTGGTAACAGAAAAGAGGGCGAGGAAAGGGAAGGTTCTTAGCAAGAACACAGGAGGTCAAGGTAAAGGAGTGGAAATGCCAATCCCATGGTAGCTCAGGTCATGGTCTACAACATGGCTCTTGCGGGAGCCTCATCACCTACCACCCTCACCTTGAGTTTACAGACAATGGTACGGTCATGGCTAATCTTACTGAAATGAAGAAACAGATTGCATGCATTTTCTCCTACTGGTAGAAATGATTTTAAAAGCTTTATATGACTGACATTAGCTCTGTAGTTATATAATCACTGAGGCTCTGAAAGAGTCCATTAAAATTTCAGTCGGGGGTGCCTGGGTGACTCAGTTATTAAGCATATGCCTTCAGCTCAGGTCATGATCCCAGGGTCCTGGGATTGAGCCCCGCATTGGGCTCCCTGCTCGGTGGGAAGCCTGCTTCTCCCTCTCCCACTCCCCCTGCTTGTGTTCCCTCTCTGTCAAATAAATAAAATCTTTAAAAAGAAATAAAAATTTAAAAAATAAATAAATACATAAATAATTTCAGTCATACTTTACAGCATTTAATGGGGGAGAGGTGTCAGGTGAGAACAGGGCATCTGGAACTTTAGGGATCTCTGACACTCTTGGGATATATGTACCTTAGAAATCACAAAGGGATACCACAAAAGAAAGCAGCTACTTTTATTGATGCCTCCTTCCCTTAAGATGATAAATTCTTTGCTGAAACAAGAATGTTTTGTGTTTGTATCCACTACACCTCCTTGAATAGAAAGTACTTAGAAACTATTTGTTAATGGATGATTAGGAAAGCACAAAGAAGCACTTCTCTTAAAAAAAAAAAAGTAACAACAAAAGGAAAACTTAAGTCAAATAACACATATTTCTTTTAAATCACACCATGAAGGACACGATACTTTTGTGCCGTTCCTGCCAAAAACTCAATCTAATAATCATGAGGAAATAGCAAATAAATACAAACTGTGGAGCATTCTATAAAATACTCTTTGCAAAGAGTATTTTATAGTTGCAAGGCTCTACTCTTCAAATATGTCAAGGCCCCAAAAAGCAAAGGCAGACTGAGGAACTCATCCAGATTAACAGGCTAACAAGACCTAACGACGAAATGTATTATCTGATCCCAAACTGGACCCCAGGCAGTTCTTTCTTTTTCTTTCTCCATTTCTATTATTGTTATTATTATTACAATTAGTATTCGTTGACTATAAAGGACATTAGTGGGACAACTGGTGAACTAATAAGGTCTGTTGATTAAATAATACTGTATCAATGTTACTTTCCTGATACTGATAATGGTTTTACAACTAGAGAACAGAAAGTCTTTGCTTTTAGGAGAAGTTACTGGTGTGTCTGGAGATAAAGGGACACTGTATCTGCAAGTTAACTCTCAAATGCTTCAGAAAAATGATCCTAAGATGTATGATGAAAAGAAAATATAAAGAATATGGAATAAAATAATAATTTGGAGAAACTGGGTGAAGGACAGACACAAGTTCTCCGTGCGAGCCTTGCAACTTTTCCGTAGGTCAGAAATCATTTCAAAATAAAAAAACTACAAAGTTATTAAGATGAATAACACCCACGGCAAGATGGAAAGCCCTACCGGTTTTAAGCGATTCTGTGTGTGAATGCGCATGGGCACGCAGTCAGGGTCTATGCTGTGACGGGGGGAAGCAGCCACCACCGCTAAGGGAATGGAGCCGAAGCAGACACCACTCCAACACACAGGTCCCCATCCCTGACCGGACACCATATTTCTTTCCAAAGGTCATCTTCCAAGTCTGTTATGTAAACCCATGAGACACTTTTGGATCCCAATCCAAAATGTGGAACCAGCCTCCTTAAGATCTGGTTTCTAGCACAGCTGAGAAACCCTAAAAGGCGAGCTGGTTTGACCGCTAGAAGATGAGCACTGACCCAGGAGCTAATAATAGGTTCTAATGACCAACTGGTGTGTCCTCCAGGATGAATGTATTCTGCTCTTAAAAGAACGCCCGTTGCCAAATCTGAATAAATCTTTCCACATTCTGACCAGTCTCCAAGATCCAAAACAAATGACCTCTAACATTTAAAGAACATCTTCATCCAGTCATTGTCACATGATGCATAACGGATGCCTGGGTCTGGTCCAAGTATGCAGACTTGGCTCTACACAATTAATTTCAGTATGTATTTTTTTTAGACCCAAATAACCTGATTACTTAACCAGCAACAGTCAAGCAATACTGCATAGTATGTCTATAACCTTGCTATATAAATGCCATTCCAATTATGTTCCTGTAATAGAAAAGACTACAAATACAGGAAAAGAAACTCAATTTCCGTTAGGGGTAAAAAAACAACCAAATTGTTCAATGCCAACCAGCTTAAACCTATCATCCGAAGGAAAATGGAACATATTTTTACACAGCAGCACTGTGTCATTACCACAAGAAAATAAAGCTGTCTTCATCAAAAGTTTCAGTTGTAGGGCTATTTTATAGCCATTGGATACAATCAAAACAACAAATAGATTCTTACTTGGAAATGGGGTAATATTCATGCCTAAAGTTACAATAAATTGCATATTTAAGATTCGTGGGCCACATTCTAAGATGCTCACTTTATTTAGAGACAAATGAGAATGCTGGAGCCATGAGCTGGGAGCAGATACTCTCGTAGGATCAACAGGAACTTCCCTCCATTTTCTTCCTGCCGGCCATGATGCCCAGCAGCAAAGCTAATGCTCTGAGTTCCAACTACCATTTCCACAACCATGGTTTCCAAGTCTCTGTCCCAGCCGAGAGTCTATCCCACGTTCCAAGCCCACCGTTCCCACCCCCTAGTCCAGATCTCAGTCTGCTACAGGTAAGCACAAACACACCTGACTTATCACCTGCTCCCTGAACTCATCTCCTTGCCCATGTTTTGTGCATCTAGCAATGGAGTCAACATTCCCACCCCAAGGGCTCCAAACGTGGGCATTAGTTTGGACACTGTCTCGTGCCTCTTGTTTTTCAGACATCATCGGTAGCCAAGGTGGTCATTTCTTCTTAACCATTATCCACAGAGGCCCTCCTCTCTCCATTCTTGCCATGACCTCAATTTAGGTCTTCCTTCCCTTTCATCTGCAATGCAACAAACCTTGTTTCTTCAACCTCTGTATTCAAACTTTCCTGCACACTGCCTCTAAGAGTTATTCCTGTTAAGAGTTATTCCTGCTGACCAAAAAAAAAAAAAAAAAAAGCCTATCTTTTCATATTTGTAATCTGCAACCTATCAGAGAACTTACCACATGGTAAACACTCAATTATTACTTGAATGAACCAATCCTCCCATTCTGTGAAAGCCGACAGCACCTCTTCCATGTCTCTTATCAATCCTGTTCAGGATTATTTATAGAGATGAGTAGGTTCCTTATTTGGACTCCTTTGGGCCAGATGTGTTCCAGAAATCAGAATTTTTCAGATTTCGGGAAGGAAAGACGGTGCATAAAACATGTATCACAGAGTACGGAAGAGTTCCATTGATGCCACACTCCATAAACAAACACAGGATTTCTGTACTCAACTCTTTGACCAGGAGAGAGATAAGGAGAGTCATTTATCACTTAAGTTCCAGCCAGGCTTTGCCATCAGTGAGTTAGGAGGAAAAAAACAAAAACCAAAAACCAAACACCTTTCCATGTTTAGACTTTGTGGTTTCTGGAGTTGCTGAAAGCGGCAGCTGTGTTTTCATTTTCAGGAGCAGGCTCTTCTTTGGGCCTCGTACAGCCTCTGATTCTTTACCTTCTTTCTGCCTTCCTGTCCTCTGAACTGTACCTGCTGCTCAAAACAACAGAATGGGATCCAAAGGGTTTACCAGAAAAACACTTGTGGCTGGCTTTAGAAATTAACAGTAATAAATACTGTAAGTTACACTGCATACTTATAAAAGGTTTCACTCATATTGAATAGAAAATATCCACACAACACATTATTGCTTTAAGAGAGGGAAAGACACTAATTTTGACCCTTTTTTTTTTTTAAAGCTGACATATGATTCCATCTAAGATGACACATTCTACCTGGCTTTTAGTACTTATTCAACAGACATGGAAAGAGGCTACTGTGTTACAGGCTGTACCAGAAGCTAGCAAGAAAAAATTCATCTGCAGCTCTTTCTCAGGCTGAAACCCAAGGTCAAATGGGAGGTGACATATAATTATAAATGATCGTAACACAGTAAGAGAACCATGACAAGCAATAGACTGTTCAAAGGAAATTCAGAGATTTATTTCTCCAGCTGATGGTCCATCTGCACCTTTGCAACCTAATCAAAGAATCCCTAGGAAAGTAAAAAGCCAAAGGATAAACTTTATTCAAAAGGGTAAAATACCCGAAGCCATAGCATCTTTGAAAAAAGTGTTCCAACATGATAAGGCTTTCAATTATATTTTAGAGTAATAAAAAGAGATAACAAGATCATATGTCCTTGATATTATTATATTGTTACATGTTATATAATACTACTTTACACAATATATAGTAATTATATATTATACATTATATAGTAATATAATAGTAATGGTGAAATGAGGAAAATAGGCTTCTATCTTGATTTCTATGTAAAGAAGCACTATGTGTGGATCAGAATGTTTTTAGTAACTCTAAAACAATACTTTGTATTGTCTCCAGAGGTAGAATAGGAACGTGCAGTGAGCATTCCAAGATAGGGCTTCCTTCCCCTAAGTTCCTCACCAAGACCCTGCTTCTGGCTTCTTAGGCAGATCCAGAGCCAGCATCGCTCTGTTCTGCGCTCTCAGCCCGCGAGAAATGAAAGGACAGGCTGTCCAGCCTCTCTCTGGTCATCTCAGCCCGGCGAGGCAGAGGCCACACTGGCCTTCGCCCTCCTGCTCCTGCATGACCATGCAGAACAGGCCTCGGAGGGGGCCTAACCTCAAAGGTACAGCAATGACTCCTCCTCCACAGCCCAAACCGACCCTGACCCAGCACTGACACCAGAACTCACCTAACTCTCCCTAGATTGACACTAATTTGGTTTTAAAAGACACTCCTTGGGGCACGTGGATGGTGCAGTCAATTAAGTGTGGGACTCTTGGTTTCAGCTCAGGTCATGATCTCAGGGTCGTGAGATTGAGCCCCATGTGGGGCTCCGTGCTCAGCGGGGAGTCTGCTTGGGACTCTTGGTCTCCCTCTGCCCCTCCGCTGTCCTTTCTAAAATTAATAAATAAATCTTAAAAAAAAAAAAAGACTCTCTGTACTCTCCCCACCCCCAAACACATATGCTGCCCCAGAGATGTGGGGGCGGTGGTGGTGTCTGGATGGCGTGGTGGGGGACAGAGGGGAAGATCTGTGGGCTAGAATGCGCCTCCTAAGCCACTAAGCCCAAACCCCTTGGTTCCGAGACTTGTGCAGTCAGTCACCCGTGCAACTCCAGGGACACCTCAGCCCAGCCAAGGTGAACTGAGGAGCTTCAGCCTAGTCTCTGTAACCAGTTCTGGCCTGCCAAGATGTGAGCCAGGCTGTGATAACTAAGAGCAATTTAAAATACAAAATATTTGGGGGCTCCTGGGTGGCTCAGTCGGTTGAATGCCTGACTCTTGATTTCGGCTCAGGGCATGACCTCAGGGTCCTGGGATCCAGCCCCGGTTCTGGCTCCACACTCGGCCAGAAGTATGCTTGAGGATTTCTCTCTCTTCCCTCTGCCCCTCCCCCAGCTTGTGCGTGCACTCACACGCGCTCTCTCTCAAATAAATAAATCCATAAAATACAAAATATTTGGTATTAAAGTGATTTTTTAAAGCTGATCGTGAAAAAGAAATGCTATCTATTCCCTAAATTAAAGCATTCAATCCTCAATTTCATGTCATTAAGCACCAAGACGAAAAAGAGAGATGCCAACGTGGAATCGTGCTCTAAGATACCACAAGCCTAGAGGCCTGGACACTTCTACCGCTGCCAGCCACGGTATCTGACACAAAGCCTGGAAGAAAACAACAGCCCCAAGTGAAGACAGTTACAACACCGCTGAGAATCAAATGACAGGCCGACGACCAAAGGAAACGTTGAACCCTTTCAGAGAAAGCTTTCAGATGCCACGTGACAATGAGCTTCAATAACTAAGGCCGTAGAGAAGAGATGATAAGACCACCAGGCATATCAATAATAAGTAGTTATTAACAGGATATCGATATTCCCATTTGTCCAGTGGCAATGTCAGGAAAAACCCTTCTCCTAAGTTAATTAAAGGTCACTTGTAAAAGGAAGCACATTTTCTAATACTGCCTACAAGGAAAGTGTCACCAAGACAAGGGGGAAAATCTGAGTTAGCCACTAAACTGAAAGAAATTACCCTGTTTGCCACGAGTGTATCACATGTACACTGTGCCAGTCCCTACAGGGTTCTGGTCTGCCACCTGTGAGACACATGGTTCCAGCACCTTCTCTCACTCTTACAGATCAGACCTCATTCCTCTCCTGAGTATCTTCAAAAATCCCGTGCTTTACATTTGTCACTCAACTTCCAATATACCTTCATCCCTAGGGAAGAAGTTGAATTCCATCATGGAAAGATAGAAAGAAAAAGGGAAGGACAGAAAGAATAAAGAAAGGCACGTGATAAAACCTGCACAGTGTTAGTCTATGAAATTCCTGAGAAAAAAAATTAGACGCTTTGAAATTTGGGGGATTAAATACCTATTAACATTTCTGCCTTATCCCCCCCACCTTTTGAGCTAACTTCCTAGAAGCACAGGGTCTCCAGAAGAACAAACCTCAAAATGTGAACGGTGGGTAGTGGAATTAGACAGATCATTATTTTCTTCTTTATACCTTTATCTATCCAATTTTAGGCCATCAACATACAAGGCTTAACAGAAACCACAACTGTCATATTAAAAAGAAGGTTGTTAATATTGATCCAAAACTGGTTTAACAAAACTTCAAAAATGTTTCTCTAGGAATACGTAACAAACAGAAGACTATTTCAAAAAATTTCAGTTGACTCAGAGATGTATTTTAATTTTTTGCTCTAAGTGAGCATTTACAGCGATCTTTAATTGTAGTGAGGAATAAAACACACGGATTTCCAAGGCACTCAAACAGGCAGTCTAAATAGCATTCTGATAATTAGGGTGATAATCCAAATTATTAATGTTGTGGGATGAAGAAAACAGTTTTGAAAGTCTCAAAATACAATGACCTAAAAATATTTCATTTGACCTGATGAATTTGCTTTCTGTGTAAGGGGCATTTAAAGATTAAAAGAGCATATAGCTAACATGACTGTTTCAAAGTACTAATTTCAGGTATTACAATGAAATCTTTAAAATAGGTATTTTCATTTTAATGGATTCTTTTACATCTCGGAAAAACACACATCTTCGAGTGCTCTGAAACCTGGTATTTCCCACGAGAAGGTATGTAGGTAGGTAGGGTTGACCCTCCTTCAAAAAGACAGGCTTTAATGTTAAGAAGGATACTTTATCTCTACTTACTAAGAGCTACCTCAGAATAGTATAAAGTCAGAGACAGGACTTACTCCACTTGGCTGCAGTGTGTCCACCTTTAGTGATATGCCACTCAAATACGGCATTTACTTTCTCTGCCACCTCATGCCCGATATCCTTCAGGCGGCGACCTATCTCCTCAAATACCAGGGTACTCTGGAGCTCCCCACCCTAGCAAAAAGAAAAAATATAACTTGAAAAGTTTTATAAGAATGACTCAAGGGGGAAAACGATTACAAAATGTATGTGCAATAAAGTGATTTTGTTAAATCTGCATAAAAATAAGGCAAACTCATTTTTTTCACACCAGGCTCCTTTCACACTCTTCTTATGTTTATTCATGTCATCCACGACCTCAGTCTTAGTAAGAGGATTTTACTTTTATCAGCATTCAGAAATAATATTTTAAGAGAACCCTAGGAGCTATACAACCTACGTCCTAACTAATGTGAGCAGGAAGATACTGGACAAATCAATCAGCCTCTGTGGTCTCGTTTCTTTCTTTGTAAAATGGGATTAAGTTATGTGAAGCCCGCATCTCCTTATAGCTCTAACACTTCTCAAGTTTTTGATCTTAGATTCTTCTTAAGGGATCTTAATCTCCAGGCCTTTATGTGATGATGTAGCTTACAACAGACAATTAAAGATCATGGGTCTGAGCGTCTCAATACTACAAAGTTACTCTTCTGAAGCCCGAGACTGTAAACATTTATATTAAAAGCCTCATGTTAACAGAGCATAACAGAAATGTTTTAATAAATAATACATGCTATTGTTATTTTTTTATTTATTTGAGAGAGTGAGAGAGAGAGCACAAGAGGGGGTAGGGTCAGAGGGAGGAGCAGACTCCCTGCTCAGCAGGGAGCCTGAGGCGGGACTAGATCCCGGGACGCCGGGATCATGACCCAAGCTGAAGGCAGTCGCTTAACCGAGCCACCCAGGCGCCCCATGCTATTGTTTTTATATTTGCATACACCGCTTTACACAAATCTTTAAATCAAGCAAAGGTACAGGATAGTTAACTTTTTCCTCTATTTTTCTCCAAAATATTGTTAGCTTAAGATTTCTCATTAAATGACTGGGACACCTGGGTGGCTCAGTTGGTTAAGCGTCTGCCTTCAGCTCAGGTTAATGATCCCGGGGTCCTGGGATCGAGTCCCACTTTGGGCTTCTCGCTCAACAGGGAGCCTGCTTCTCCCTCTGCTTGCCGCTCCCCCGCTTGTGCTCTTGCTTTCTCTCTCTCTCTCTGACAAATAAATAAAATCTTTAAAAAAGAAAAAAAAGATTTCTCATTAAATGACTGATTCAGTTACTCTAAAACTAGAAAATTAATTATTTTCTCTTGAAAGGCACCCCAGTATCTCCCTTAAAAAATGTTTAAGAAATTCCTAAGTTGTCAAAATATTCCTTTTACCTGAAGCAGTTTTGGATTAACATCCTTCAAGAATTAAGAATCTTTCACAGCTCTTAATTTTCTAAAGCAGCCTGAACATTCTAAAAGTAATCTTAACTGAAATTCATCAATCAGGAAATGACTTGGCTACCAGTTTCAATAACCTACCTCAGAGGGTGTCTTTGCTGAAGTATCAGATGTTGGTATGAGATCCACATATGCATTTGAAATGACAATGTCTCCGGTTTCTTCGATCTTTAAGATTTAAGAGGGAAAAAAACCAGTTCACTCGGATGATTCCAATGAAAACACAGTATCATTGCGAAACAGTACACAGTCATTTAAAAGAAAACAACAATTTTTCCTCATAAGAAAAAGAAAATAAGAATCCAAATTAAATCAAGTTTATAAATTAAATGTCAAGATGAATAAACACGAAGGCTTGCTGTTTTAATACAACTGTTATTAACCCTAACTGTAGAATCAACTGGCACCCTTTTAAAATATACATATGATGAGGTCCCATCTCCAAAAATTCTAATTTAAATGCCCTGGGGTGGACCCTTGGCATTGGTATTTGGGGAAATTGTTTTTTAAACATAAGCGTGTCTCATGGGGAGCCAGGGTGAGAACTGTTGAATTCTTATAAATAGTACAAGGCATGGCGAGTATCCACATGAGGTAGTGATGCTCAAAGTGCATTTGTTCTATTCAGAGAGAATAAAATCCTCTGGAACAGACCAGAGTGATCCTTTCTAAGTAATAATTCTAGTTCTTATTTCAAATAGGAAGGGTACATAGCATAAACTAAATGCTTAAATAGACTTTCATCAAAATACTCATGAAAGGAACTCTAATTCGAATCCCTAATCCCTCATCTAAAATTATTCCAATGGCTACTCTTTCATAAAATTATGGTACTGCTACAAATGGGCAGGACCGGGTCTAAAAATTAAGGCAGCATTTATTAAAACTGATTTTTAACAATTGAGATCATTCTCCCTTGACCACTCGCCATTGTACTTCAGAAAAAAGATCTTTCAAACAATTTGTTCATTTCTAATTATATATTATAAATAATTCTAATTATTATAATTTATATCTAATTATTTATTTCTAATTATATTCCAGTGCAAAGCATGGAAACAGACAATTTTATGAACAAAATACACTTTAGTAAGTTACTTTCTTGCAACCAAGCCAAGCATGTC